AAAAGGAAAATCACTGAACAGGAATAACAACAGACAAAATGTTGTATCTCATGAAGGCAAACTGTTTCTACACTAAACATACATTTGCACGTGGAGAGACAAACTGATGGCAGGCGGATCAGACAGCAAGAAAGGGGAAGGCATGACAGAGACCACACATATGCTGTTGAACACAAACTTCTTGTGTTCACTGAACTTTGCCATCCTTAACCCCACAAAGCATCAGTGCCCGCTTCCAGATGTGGAAAAAATTTGTCAGGCAGTCATGTGCAGCTGTTAGTGAGATCTGTTGTCCAGTTTAGTCACCTCTGACTGATTCCAGTCCTCTTCATCCAGCTCTATCAGCTGCATTAGTCACTGAAGTTTCCTCTTCTCCCTCTCTCTGCGAGCACTGCTCCAGGCACAGTAATGATAGATGTGAGCATGCTGGGGGAAGTGGCAGAAAGAGCTGCTGGGCTGTGTCCATTGTGCTTCCTGTGCCTGATGGACCATGAGTTGCAAAAGCCCTGACACATCGCTCCCCTATGCACCTGTGGTCAGAGTTGAGCATTGCTAGGATTCTCCCATGCATTTAGAACAAATGAATGATGTTTCGTCCATGTTAACCTCATGGTCATTAGGACCCCTGATTAATCAGCAATGAATGGGGAATATTACGTGATGGGATTTTCCATTAGCACCTTCTGCTCTCCTACAGCCGGTGGAAGCCATGTCCTTTGTTTCTTTGCATATCACACCACTAAATTGGAGATTGAGCTGTAATTCGTAGGGCTGAACGTGACCCCACAGGGCAAAGCACCGAGGAACACTCAATGAAGTCCTGAACAAGCTTTTCCATTACAGCTAGAGGCAATGTTTCCCTTGAAAGATTTTCTCTGTTTCTTCCTTGGGAAAAATTCAAGAGGACTGACATTTTTCTCAAACATAGACCCATTCCCAGCAAAAGGAATCCTGCCATGACCTCAGCAAGCCAACCCGGTGCTTGTAAAAAATTTTAGATCCTTCAGTGAAAAACTAAGGAAAATCTCAAAGAGAGATAAGAGGGAAGATCTCCATTTCTTTTTTTGATAATACAAAATGTTTCAGTTCCCTTTTTGAGATGGAAATGGAGAAGAGAAGCAACAACTGTCCTGGTGATCATGGGCAAAATTACCAGGAGACACCTCAACTTTATACAAACATGTTTTAATGACATCGGATCTGAGCTGGAGCTGAAATCCGAGTTCACCTGTGGGATATTTGCCCAGGGTCGGGACAAGATGAATTATTAATAAATTAGCCAGTTATTACCAGATTGGGTGTGCCTCGGATTAAAAACAACAAATCCCCCGCACCCGAAAGAGGAGGCATCTCTGCAGCCCTTGACTGAGGTCCAGGAGTATGGAGGTGTCAGTGGAGCAGGTTCTGGTTGTGAAAGATTCTGGTCATCAAGTTAATCTGTTGTCATCAGCTCCTGGGGCTGCCTTTGGAGCGCATATAAAAGCCTCCTGCTCCTGAGGCTCCTTGAGCACCCGGTGGCTTTTCTGCTTCTGCCAGCAGCAGCTGACGCGAGGTGAGTCCCTCCATGCAGATCCAGCAACACTGGGGGTTGTCATGGTGCTCTGCTCTTGGGAAATTGGATGGTTTCTCTTTATTTTATTTCTCTGCTAGCAACTCCAGCCCATTTTCTCCTGCATGTAGGTGAAAGCCATATTCTTTTATTCCGAGACTTTCCAAGGCTCCAGACAGTGGCTCACTGACTTTCAATCAGCAAACCCTTGTTATCCCTCAGCATTTTCTTCCAGCTGATAAGAATCCTTTTGGATAACCACCAGGTGTTGAGGATCAGACACCAAAGGATGGCATCCACCAACTCGTTCTGTGTTTGCAGAGCAGTTGTGTGCCGATCACCAGGGCTCTGAGTCTCACTTCTGTGCACAAAGTGGTAGCAGCAGGACAGTTCTTTGCATTTGCAGCAGGGGACACAGCTCCTGCTCTGGGTTCTTAGTGCTCTATGCAGAGATGTGACCATAAGCAGAGGGATTGCCATCCAACTCTTCTCTCTTCCAAATAAACCACTTGGAACACTGCAATATCACTGGATTTTTGCTCCTCTTGCACCAAACAAATACTGCTTTGAGGTCTTGAGCCTCCATGATTTCATCACAATTTGTCTTGCTTCTTAATCTACCAATGTTCAGAGTACATCGAACAGAAGGAAAAACCCACTCATTGTTTCTCTCCTCCTCTTCCCTCTTCTTCTGGAACCATTCACCTATTGGGATCACAGCTTCATTAGGGCAGTGCTTTCCTCCTGCATTCTCTTCCATACAGTTATGCCCCAGGGCCTCAGCAGAGCTCCACAGAACCCTGAAATGAAGTATGGGGAAGCTACGACAGGCTGGAGTCACTAATACAGGGTTGGTTTGAACAGCCTCATCCTGAGGGATTTCCAAGTTTTTGTTGGTTTGGGCTTTTTTTCCCCCATGTTCTTTGACTGCTAGAAATGACTTTTAAAGGCTCCTCATTGCTAGCTTTGGATCAAGGCTAACAAAGTGACTGAAGCTACAATATCCAGAAAGAGAACTGTGTAGGGCTCAAAGTAACCAGAGGGGAACCTTGCTTTTCTTCCAGGCTCAGCAGAGATGTCTTCCCACCAGCAGAAGCAGCAGCAACAAATACCTGCCCAGTGCCAGCAGAAGTGTCCCCCAAAGGGTGTGGAGCAATGCCAGGCCCCCAAAGGACAGACCAAATGCCCTGTGAAGAGCGTCCCACAGCAGCAGCAGCAGCAGCAGTGCCCCAAGCAGAAGTAGAGCTCCCAGCAGTGACCATGAAGAGCTATGGAAAATGCAAATGGGTCTTTCCGTGATCTCTTTCTGCTTTCCAGCTCTGCCTGAATAGCTAGAAATTTCCAAGGCGCCTTCTTTGCTTGCAGAAGTCACAAAGAGATGCAATTCATTATCTCAGATTTATTCATCTTCTATTATAAAAGAGTCATGGGGCTGTTTCCTTCTGATCTTTAATTTGGGACACGCTGCAATAAAAGTGTAATTAACCTCCTCACTTGCTTCCTGATATATATATGTTTAGCTTTACTGGTATCAATCATTATCTTTTGCCTTCTTTTTGTAATCAGAGTCACCTTTCAGTATACACATGCATATAAGGCACACCCACAGGGACCCATGCATATCCAGGTTTCCTATGGAGGAAATGGCATTCTCAGGTCTGGATTATGAAATTTTGCAAGTTGTTTTCACCCTGAGCTGGTGCAAACCAGGCAAAACTCAGTTTTCTGCAAGGTATAACGTTCTGAAGTACATTCCTGTGGGATTTATCAAAGCAATTAATCACGACTGGGAGTCCCAGATATAGAACAGCTGCGATCTTTGGATGTTCTGACGCTGAAAAGAAACTTTTGATTACTTCAAATGATTATTTCCAGTTTTAAAAGAGCCAGAAACAGGATTTTGAATGTTTCTGTTTCTCGGCAGGAAATATTGGCTCAGCTAATTGATTTCCAGCCAGCTGTAAAAAAAAATGCAGAGGAGGAACATTATCACAGAGGCAGAGGCGGTGAATGATGTGATATTGATGCCTTGCAGTCAGACACCAGCAGGCTGTGCAAGCCAGAGGCTGTGTCTGGTGCAGCTCTGCAATCTGGTGATGGGACTGCACGCATCCCACACCCATCCAGCAGAGCAGGGTGAGACTGAATTTCTCCTGGCTCAGCAAGGGTGGGAAATCTGTGTGCTGCTGCTTGCAGCTTGCCCTGTAGATGGTGTTTGAAAAGGGCAGATGGAGCAGGATGTGAGCTGCGTCCTGCTTCGGGGTGGAGCGTCCTGTGGAGGTGTGTCAGTGAAATTCATTAGTGTTTCAATGCACAATTAATTAGTGTTGCAGTACAATCAGCCATCCCATGGGCTGGTGCAGCACACAGTCTCTTGCAGGCGCTTGCAGAGGAGCGGAAGACTCAGCATTCCTCTCAAGCACCCACATTTGAGTCCCCAGTCCCCTGGCATTCAGCCTGAGTGATGTGCAAGCCGAGAGCCCAGGTTCTCTTTGTGAGAAGAAGCTATTAAAAGTCTCACAGCTCAGTATTCAAAGTCATTTTTATTGTCCGTTTTCACAGTGAAATAAATCCTGGATACAACATCAGCCTAAAACAATTAGGGTGAAGCACCAAACACATATGCAAGAGCAGTGTGTGGTGAAACATGTTGCAGGGTGTAACTCAGACCGTGCACGCCGCCTCCTTCATCCTGTCTGACAGCTAGAAGCTGTGCTGGGGGTTAATCTATTTCAAAACACGTCTGGGTTGCATTTAATTACCTATATCTTTTCCATGAATACTGTCAGCTTGAGCTGCTCCTGACACATCCTAGAAAATCTGAGGTGAGCTCTCTCAGGAAAGCAACGACAATTAGTTTAGCAAAGCAGGTAATTAAGAGGTGATGGCTCTTTTGTAAAGATCTATCCCTTTCCTCTAGCTCAGTGGGTTTTTTATTGCATAAAATATTCAGCACTGTGGATTCATGGTCCAGAAAGCCTTGGTGCCACTAACCAGAACCCCTTAGCTGCAGCTTTAGTTGAAACCTCAGATCCTATCAGTGATAGGCAAAGCCCTAAATGTGAGGTGGGAGATTGTGCTGGCGTGCAGGGAGCTGGGGGAGGGATGCATGGGAACCAGGAGGCAGCGTGCAGGTCTGCAGGATGCATTGACTCATCGGGTGAAGGTGGAATAATTGGCATGATGAGCCCTGGCTACAGCCCACCATCATGCTCTTCAATTTTCTCTCCGGATGATTGAATGACTGGGAGACGGCAGAGATTCAGGTTGCTGGAAAGCCAAATGCTCATGCCTGCACCACTATGGGAGCCTTCCTATCTATGGCAGCCCTGACGTGTCAGGTAGCATATAGCTGTTAGTGGGGACAACGTGAGCGTTAGTGGGGGGAGCTGGGAGCTGTGCTTAACAGAAATTCTGCAGTGGGTAAAAGGGCATTGGAAAATGACCTGTGTGAGATATGGGGGGAGGTCTTGCATCCTGCTTCTCTCTTTGGGGCTTCCCTTGCCAGCTGCAAGTTATTTCTGTGCCAGTGGCCACGGGCTGGGCTGTTTTACCTGCTGCTGCTCAAGGGGAGGATGCTTCTCAGGAAGGGAGCTCTGCTCTGGCTCTGGGCCGGGTGCAGGGATTGGCACAGGGACCTCCTTGCACTCCTGCTTCTCCTGGGGACATTGTTCAGGGTCAGCATTTTGAACAGGGACCACCACTGGGATCTCTTTGCACTCCTGCTTCTCTGCAGGGCATGGGGCGGGCACGGGGACCTCTTTGCATTCCTGCTTCTCCTGGGGGCAGGGTGCAGGCTCAGGGTTTTGGACAGGGACCACCACTGGGATCTCTTTGCACTCCTGCTTCTGTTGGGGACACGGTGCAGGTTCAGGCTCTTGAACAGGTTCTGGCACAGGGACCTCCCTGCTTTCCTGCTTCTCCTTGGGACAGGGTACAGGCTCGGGGTTTTGGACAGGAACAGGCACAGGGACCTCCTCGTGCTCCTGCTTCTCCTGAGGACACTTTGCAGGTTCAGGAGAGGCAACAGGGTCTTGCACAGGGATCTCCTTGCACTCCTGCTTCTGCTGGGAGACAGCTTCAGGGCAGACAGCAAGTACTGGCTCTGGCAGCTCTTTGCATGCTGACTTCTCTTGGGAGCATGCAACAGGTTCAGGCTGTGATACTGGAGGGAAATTTGCTGGTAGCTTGCTTTGCTGCTGCTGCTGCTGCTCTTGGGCTGGGCACTCAGGTATCACGACTGCTGGTGCTTCTCCCTTGCCTGGTTCCACTGATGGTGCTGGCAATGGCTCTGTTTCTTCTGGATACTGCACCACTACGACTGCAGTCACTTCTGTGACTTGGGCTTCAGACTGATGCTGCTGAGGGCATGGGACAGGCTCAACGCAGGGCTCTGGCTCTTGATTTTCCTTTGAAACCGTTTTGCCCAGGCCAGATGGGAGAGTGATTTCCTGCTTGCATTGCATCTGATTCAAAGACATCTTTGCAGGAAACAAGATTATCTGAAAGAAACGTCAGAGTGTTATTGTGTCTGCTGATCGAACTGCATTGGGATAAGAGTGAAACAATTATGAGAAACATTAATCATCTGCAAGACTAACTTTCTCTTAGCTTGCCCTTGGTTACCCAAGGCAGGTTGGCTCAGGAGGAATTATGATTTGCTCTTTCTTTTTCATCCTGTCTCTGACTCTGCCTTATCTTGTTCCTCTGCTCTGCTCTGCAGTGTGGGACAGGTCTAGCAGAGGTAGAATCACTCCTTTGAAATCGGAGCTGATTTACACTTCAGAGCTCTTCCACCCGTTGCTTTGCTCTTCCCAACGTGTTAACTCCCTTTCATTTCTTTCCTGGGGGACTGACGAGAGGAGCTGGCAAATAACAGATCTGCTGGATTGATAGCGGTTTCAGAAAGTCAAAATAATCGTAATAAAACGGACAGCTAAAGACAAGAATTAAAAAAAAAACAAAAAACAAACACCTGTGCATCAGAAAGTAGAAAACATGAATCTGGGTTCAACGGAACACCCCACACTGACAGAAATGAAATCATCTGTTTTGTTTGCCCCTTTTTAAAATGGTTTCCAGATTTTTCTTGGAATTAAGGCCTCAGGGTGGACCTCCCCCATAAGTAACATCTTTGTGTAGCACTGGGAGCCTTAGAAGTGCCCATGTCATGGGTCAACTTCACCTCAGTGCTATCACTCACTTCATGGTGATGTAATGGACCAAGGCTGCAGTGTCACAGTCCTTCCAGCTGCCATGGAAAGAATTAGCAGTGGTGATGCTGCCCTACATTTCTGGACTATCATCACTAGCATCACTCATAATGCATGTAGTCCACATGAATCAGGATAATCAAAAGGGATTTCTTCTCCCAGGATGTGCAATGTGCCAAATGGGTTCTCCTAAAGATTTATGAAACTCCCTCTCTTTGGTGCACTGCCGAAGCAGGATCAGGCTTGGCTGCCTGGTGCTTGTGGCTCTGGCAAATCCCATGCTGCTCTTTTTCTAAAGGACACAAAGAAAAGGTTAAAATCATGGAAGCATGAATTGGAAGAGTTGTTTTAAAGTCCCACCAAAAAGGACTGGAGTCAATGCTGATCAAGTGTGTGTGCAAGTGTTCTCCCTTCCCACAGCACCTTTCCTGCTCAGCACATCTTCAGAGCAAATCATTGCTCTCTTTCCCATCCTCCCAGATCATCCAGATCATTATCTGATGCTCTTACTGTTTCCTTTCCTGATGGCATCTTAAGCCATGGATGACAGAGCACAGGAGGAGTATTTTCTCCCTTCTGCTCTATCAGCCCCTCATACTCACAGGTCTGTCTTTTGAATAAATAATTACCCCATGATACTAAAGTTTTAAAAGCTATCATATTATAAATAACAGTATCATAGAAAATGGATTTGGAAGGACCTTCAGTAGGCCGTTTAGACCTTCCCTTTCCCTGAAGGCAGAATCAGTTACACTTAAACCAACATAATTTTATCTAATTTCTTCAGAAAGGATCTAATTTGGCACTTAACTATCCCCAAATTTACAAACTATCTGAACTTGCCTTGCAGAGCCATTCCCAGACTGCTGGTCCAACCCCAACGCCCACAGTTTCTCTCCTCTGTAGGAATCTTTTGCATGCTCAAAGTTACCAAATAAAGCACGTCTTTAAAGAGCCTGCCTAAATGAAACCTCTGTGAGATTCTAGCTAGCATTAAATCATAAGCATCACAAGAAGGATCAGTATTCAGTGACTTACCCAACCAGTCAACAGGGAGAAGTGCAAAGTCGAGTGGATGGAGCAGCGTGGAGATTTGGGAACTTTTATATGGTTTCAAAGCCCTGCCTTCTGGGGATGAGTCCTCCAGGTAATGAGCTCACTCTTTCACAACTGCCGTTGTGTGTTTCCTCCACAGACTTGTTTTACACGTAGGCAGTGTGAAGAGACAGCTATTTTTTTTGTGCAGAAAGCATTTTGATCCCTTTTCTGGTTGATCAGAGCCAACGCAAAACTTTCTCTGCGAATAAAGGTCATTGCCTTTGGTTAACACTGTCACCACAGACCCACCGAGGTCTTCCATGCCAGCTAATGGTCTTGCCCCCATTTCTTAGGATGCATTTGTGGCTTAAGACCTGGGGACTGTTCCTATTCTCAACATCTGCCACCTCTTTTTCGTCAATGAATTCTCTAAAGCGATTTCCTAGTCATTCTATCTGCTCGTGATGGATGGGTTTATTTTTTTCCCATTAAGATCTTCATAGCTTTCATTCTTCCCTCATTTCAGAGCAGATTATTTCGAATGCATGTTGTCATCCATGGTATGGTTCCCAGCTAGCGAACATGACAGAAGTGGGACCTGAGTATATCTTCATCCACCATATGAAGAGTAAAGGGACTTTTAAGAGCATATGAGATTTATCACAATAGGATGGAACTGGGACATCACACTGGTTTGGATGCTGGGATGGCATTTGAGAAGAATGTTTCAATATAACAGTGAGATGAAGGGAGTTTGTAGTGCATGCAGTGTATTCTCAGAGTGCTATTCCAAGTTCAAAGTATATGAAGTGAAAATAGCTCGCTGATGATTACCCTCAGATCTCACAGTGCTGTTAGAATACAATCACACCGTCCTCACCATTCAGGGTAGGGGCAATTTGATCCCACACGGTGACACGTCCCACACAGAGGTGAATTTCATCACATTTGGTCGTCTCAGGTCTATCTTTGTCTCCTCTCCATGGTTTTACCAGAGTACCTTATCATAGCACGCACTGCAGATGCAATCATTACAACAGGCTGAGCTGGTACCCAACACTGCTGGGGCTCCTGGTGTGAACTCGCTGGCTCCAGCTGTGGTGTAACTTCCTCTGCTGATAATCATTTAGCAACTGAAGCACAGAACACCTGAAGTTTAGACCACGCGTTGTCTTCTGCCATAGCGTCACTTCACCCATGCAACTTCCTTTCTTGCCTCATTGCAGGTGGGGCTGAGCTGGTGCCTGGCTGGCTCTGGAACCTGCTGAGTTGTGGTCACCAGCAAGGGATGGTCCCAGCCTGTGATCTACCTGCATCTGAAGCCTCACCCATGCTCTGCTGGCACAAATTGTAACCATGGCCCCACTGAAGGCAGGAGGCAGAATGCTTTCCAGACACAGATAATCTGTCTGTCTGCTTTCTAGGTAGGATCAGGCTTCGTGGTTACCAAAACCCTTTGGCTGAGGTTCCTATAGCCCTTCAAAGCAGGGCTATAGGAATACAGCAAGGGGGGAATAAGCCCCTAAACCCTGAATTTTATAATGCATCCATTAGCCTGGAGAGAACAGAGCAGCTGTGTTCAGACTGAGACAGCACATTTCATTAGGTCAAATATTGCAATGGAGAAAAGCAAACGTGCAGATTCAGGCCAGAGCTTCAGTAACCTTTGTTACAGCCATCGAGGAGAGAGAAATAGGGCACGTAGCACCTGTGTCCAGCACTGAGGCAAAGGCAGCTACAGGTGCAACCACCACGGCCCTGTGTTGAGACACTGCTTTCATTTAAGCAAGCAGTCAGCTTTCGGGAATATACAACCAATTTGGGTGCCAATTTTCCAGACTCAGCTTGCAACACTCCGTGAGTAAAGAAAATCACTTTCCATAGCTGGAGGGGAGACGACCTGCGCTGTGTCTGCAGACCAGGCAAGGCCGTCCTGACCTTCCGCCCTGGTTTGGATCCAGCTCTGCAAAGGCTCCAGGAGGTCATTTCACATCCACGGCTGCAACCTCAGCAGAAAAATGATGGCAATTATCACTGGAGAGGCTCTGAACTCAGCCTGTGGATAGGGAGTGAATGTTTTTCACACCGTAGCAGGATAATTGCTTTCCCCTTCCATGCGAATTGCACAAAGGCTATTTTTAGAGGCAAATGCCATATGCAGTGAAACCTGCCTTGCTCAAACCTCTGGGGAACTACGGGAGAAACGTGCATCAAGGAAAGTGGCCTGGCAGCCAATGTGGGCTCAGCTCCCGCCTGGCGGAGCCCTGGCTCTGCTCCTGCTGACCCCAGCTCCACCCCACTAATTCCAGGCAGTGCAACACCACAACTGATAGAAGTGTCCTGAGCCTACCCTTCTTCCTAGACAGAAACTGCCACTGTGGGTTCCACTCAGCTCGTGGAGGTCCCCCAATGGCTTTACAAGCGCTAATCACATCATTAATTACTCAGGTCCCCAGAGTCTAAGATACCTGGAGGTGTGCACAGCAATTACACTAGCAGCTCCAAATGGAGGTCTGTAACAGCCTGATGCACCATGGAGGTGTCTCAGTACCTCAGTGATCCTTGCTGCTATACTACTTCACTCTGAAAGAAAGGAGGAGCTTTCTTAGAAGCACAGAGCACTGCAGAGCACCTCAGCTTAGCAGGTGAAATGTGACCCTCCCCTCACATCCACAAGGGTGCTCATTGATTTCTATCTATGCAGGGCTTGGAACCTTTGTGCACAGAGAAAATGATCTGCAGTAGCTGTTGCTCTCCTGGATTTCACGTCTTGGTATGATTCATGAGCTGCCCAACTGGATCTCCCAACACAGGGCTCACCCCGATGGCTTAATTAGACACTGTTTCGTTAACTCCCCGTCTTGTTCTTTATTATTGTGCCTGTCATCACTTCAGGGTGGACACCTCGATTAGCTCATCTCATGAGACAAAAGACTTAATTACCAGTTACTGAGTTTCCTAGTATCGGTCTGTCTGCTGCCATCCCAGTAGCTGAACCATCTGCAGACTCAATCTTCCCCAGTCCCACAGTGATGGCCAAGCAGTCTGCACTTGACTTTTTTTTCCTCTGCCTGTTATTCCTTGAGAGACTTCTCTCAGTTTTTTTGCTGCAATACAGCACCCAAGCTCCCCACGATTACTTTAACAGCTCTCAAGAGACAGACACGGCCGAAGCACTGAATTGTCTGTGACTCCACGTTCAGAGCTCTAAAAGCTCTTCTGTAAACCCA